GAAGTCTAAACGTGGCTCAGAATTTGCAGCAGGGAAGGAAGTTGAGTGAAGCCATGATTAGAGCCTTGTTTATGCTGTTCTTCGTGAAATCTCAGCATCTGTGCTCTAACTCACCGTTCCTGCCTTCATTAGGCCTGTTTGTAAGAATCTCGGTGACTGATGATGTGCTTGAATTCCCCACTGCTTCTGTGCAGCATAAAGGACTCAGACTTTGGAGTTGTCTATTTCAGCACCTGATTTGAAGGGATGGGGTCTGCCATCACTCTAACAACATAATCGTCATTCAGAAAGTACCTAGTGAAATGTAGGCTTGTCCTCCCCATTTGCAGACATTAATTACCTTTTGGTCTTCAGGGTATCGGATACAGCGCTATTCAGCGCAAATTTCCTAAGCATCTGCCAGGCGCTTTACCAAGTCCTCAGGGGGAAACCAAGTTGAATAGAAACGGTCCCTGTCACCACCATCACCATCCCCCCTCCCCAAAGGGGCTTCATAATCTCTCTGGCTGAGTGCCAGTGCTTATGAAAGCAGGAAGGTAATTTCCCAGAACCTACTAGAAAACTTTTGGAGCAAGTCTGACCCTAGTTTGAGACTCTTAAGGCTGATTTGGAATATGCTTTCCTCTGTCAAGGCATGTGTTGTAGCTCTCTTCACCGAGCTGTGGGCCTGGAAAGGCCAGTTTGTCAGCTGCCACTGGGCTTGAGTGGAGACTTGTCCACCAACTGGGCAAGGATGTGAGTCAGCAGGAATGGAAGGACCCCTGTGAATGTGGGTTCTTTCAGGCTGAGAGCCTGACCCTGGCCTTGACACCTCCCAGCCCTCATGATCCAGGTCTATATTTCAGGGAGCTCAAGACGGCTTGGAAGGCAGATTATTTAGCAGGCCTTGTGTTTCACTGAGCCTTAGATCCTCTATGTTGAAGGGGGCCCTGAAATTCCCTTGTCACATTTCCAATGCTCAAATTATATCATTCTTGGAGAATATTTTGTAAAATATCGATTGGCTGATCACAGCTACAAGTGCATGCCAATATTATTGCCTTTTTTCCCCGATGTTAGGATTAGACACCAGCTTCCATTTATTAGCAGGTATAAGGAAAGCAGTGTAGCAAACAGTGGCTCAGAG